GAAAAGTATTCAGAAGTGTCGACAAAATGTGATATTAATATTAAATGGTTTTGAAAAATAATAATTAAATACTGGTTTCTCATTTTATTTCGCCTAAAACCGCCACATGTCACATTATTTTAAATCTTGAAATGATTTAAAATAAAGTTAATTATCAATTGTAAAAACTTGAACTGGATGAAAGTGGTAATAATTAATACAATTGTTTAACAGGTTAGGTATTATATTTTATTTACGGGATTGTTACCATGTACCTTGTTTTTAGAGAGTTTCCGATATTTCGGCACTGTTGCAAGCGCCATGATCACGGAGTAACTGAAGTAATTGCGGGTAGGCTGTTATTGGCAGATATATCGGTCTACCCTCCGACGAAGTCTTTTATTGCGTTCGATACCAATCTTCTTCGCAATTACTTCAGTTACTCCGTGATCATGGCGCTTGCAACAGTGCCGAAATATCGGAAACTCTCTAAAAACAAGGTACATGATAACAATCCCGTAAATAACTTATATTACTATAACGTTAGTGACCATGAAAGTTTAAAGCAATATACACACATCAAAAGTGTCTAGGGATCAAGCATTTTTATGCGGATTTCTTGAGATTGAGATGTGGCTTTGTAATAAATTTATGATTTTATAAATTTATATGGATCCTTTTTGGTGCATTTCATAATTTGAATCAGGAACTGTGAATCAAATTCGAGTAAAAGATGAAAATCAGCTGTCAATATTTTCCCTATAAAAACATACAACGCATTGAAGACATTATTAGTGCTACTGTTTCCCTACTACTGATTAAAACCAACGTTATTATGGAGCGGCGACGTCATTTAAGCAGGGAAGAAATGCTCAGAGCCGTGGGAATGATAGAAGCTGGTTCCCGGCAACGTACTGTGGCTTTAGCTCTGAATACAAGTCAGAGTGTTATCAGCCGACTTTGGACACGATACCGAAGCACTGGTACCGTGGCTGAGCGCCATGGAGGACGGTATCGCTGCACCACACGGAGACAAGACCGATACATTCAAATCTTAACTCGAAGAGCTCCAACAATAACCGCCATGATGTTAGCCGTGAGGCTTCATCACTCTTCAGGGAACTTAATTAGCGACCAAACAGTCAGAAACCGCTTGCATGAAGTGAACCTTCATTCCCGAAGACCGCTACGGGTACCACCTATAGCAATGCACAATCGTAGGATTCGATATCAATGGGCTCTTGAACACAGAAATTGGGCAGAAGAACAATGGCGTTTCGTGTGCTTTTCTGATGAGTCTCGTTTTGGTATGAGACCGGATACAAGACGTATACGACACTGGAGAACCCCTGGACGCCAACAGCGATTAAAATCCTGCCAGGAAGTCCATCCTTATAGTGGTGGAACCATCATGGTATGGGCGGGTATTTGGATCGGCGGAAGAACTGAGTTGATTTGGATCAGAGGCAACCTCAACGCTCAAATTTATGCTGAGACGATTGTATCAGACGTCATCGTTCCTCTACAAGTGCAAATCGGTCCCTTATTTCAGTTAATGCATGATAATGCACGACCGCACACCGCAAGAGTTGTAAGACAGACTCTCGCCGCAGCTAACATCAATGTCCTGCCCTGGCCTGCTCAGTCGCCAGACTTGAACCCGATTGAGCATGCATGGGATATGCTACAGAGAAGAGCTCTGCCGAATATGGAGGGTATCCAGTCGCAAGAAGACCTTTTTTTGTTGTTGCAACGAACATGGGCGGCCATTCCACAGCGTGATTTGGATGAACTCATTTTGAGTATGCCAAACCGATGTTCTTGTGTTGTTAGTGTTCGCGGTAGAAATACGGATTATTAATTGTTTAAGTTACCCAATAAAATTTTAGAGAAAACTGTTATTTCAGTCTTTTTTTCGAACTTTTGTGTTAGTGGTTCAAATGTCAAAAATCCCTTTATTAGGAAAGTGGCAAATTTCTTTATTAATGCAAAGGTGACTTGGTTTATCGTTACTGTGACAAACGAAAACACTTTATTTGATGAATCCTTAAAGAAAATTTTAATTAATATCAATCAGGAGAAAAGTTATTGCAAAAATATATGTTGATCCCTAGACACTTTTGATGTGTGTATAGGTTAGGTATTGAAACAAAAAAGCAAATATTTTTATTAATTAAAATTATTGTCACTTTTTTTAGATACTCGATCCTATAATTAATAGTTTAAATGAATTCAAATATTTTATGATACGTTCCTTCCATACGCTCCCGAATTCTGGCAACCCTTGGATAGCCAGAAAGAGTTACGATCTACATAATAGCCGTTTTACGACTACACTCTGTCAGGAGTGCATAGAACAATACCAGCATTTACAAAGACTTATGGCAATAACTTTAAAGATCAATATGACTTTGCTTAGTTCCTTTTAAAATTTTGTCGATTGTTCAACATTTGGTTGAACGTTGTTGACAATCGCTTATTTCAATTCCAGTAAGTGGTCCGATGAAAGAACTGAGTGCAGATTAGGCATTAAATTGAAATGCAACAAAAGCTTAAAAGTATCTTTTTAAACAACTACAAATAGTAGGCGTAGGTATGGTGGGAGTACTTCACAAGGTGTAAGGTTGCCGACCTTATGTTATTCTGCTACGCTTGAGTAAATCCCCAAATTCCCTGCATCAGATAGGTTAGGTTAGGTTAGCCCCCGCCCTTACTAAAAAAATGACAGATAAACTATCTGATGCAGGGAATTCCCTACTAAAAAAATGAAAGATAAACTATTTCTGATCTTATTTTTCAAAGTCAAAATTTTCTTGCTTTAGAACTACATAGGTACCTATTTCTGATTTTGAAACAGCAATTGTACTTTTTTCATTTGGCTTTCAACTTCACTAAGTGGTGTTATGAAACTTCAAAACTTTACAAAGTATTATGGGATCTTATTTTTGGTAGTAGTGTTACTTATAGCCTTATAAGGGGCAGGTCAATGACCTCTTTCATTTTGTAACCCATTGTTATTCCGTACCTCTGTTTAGCATTCACACCGTCAATGGTCCTTTGTTGTAAAAAACTTAAACACCATTTGGAATAAAAACACTTAATAAATCTTTGTATGTCGTAATATGTTTGATTGAATCGAATTATGGTGTCAAGCTGTGATTAATTTATTTAAAAATAAAATCACATTGAATAACATTCGTGAAATTATGAAACGATATTCCGCAGAAACAGTAGATTGATATAAAACTATGAATACATGGATAGAATTCATTAATAACAGAGATTTTTATTTTCAAATCTTTTTCGGAAAATTTCTCTGAATTTTTAAACCTGATATTATGACATTATTGGTTCTTCCTGTTAGGTAACATTGATAAATCCCATAGGAAATAAAACATCAAAAAATATGTGTGTGATTATTTGACATTTCACAGAACTGTCTTTTTTCATCTTATAGAAATATTTAACAGTTACCTTATGTGAAATCCTGACTAAGTTGGAATTATAATTTCAGAAATATTAATAGGTCTTTGTACCTCATTTAACTTTTTACTTACAATGTTGACATACTAGAAAAAAGTGTCTAGAAAGTCCCCTCTGTTACGGTCTGAATACTATATAAAATAGATCGAAACTCAGACGTTCCAAATCGTAAACCACGTAATATTTACAAGCTCATTTCGAATCAAACTGGAAAGTCATATTTTTAAAGATGTTAATGATTGTCGTTGAGTTTCATTCTTTATTTCTTACAGATGAAGAGATACCCATAAAGATTGTCTGCGATGAGTTTCTCTGCCCAAGACCAAGTTTTTCTTGTCCTTATCTTTTTAAAATTGCCGAATTGTATTTTTGATGATTTTTTATATCTATAATGCTGTGTATTTTGCAGGAGAATTAAATAAAAAGTTCTAGAGTAAAGATCCCTAAGATCAGATAAGAATTTTTTGCAGACAACTATTGACAGAAACAAAATGGAAGAATTCTCAAGAATTGGGGAATGATCAGAAGAGATCATAGGAGATGTTTTTTATCCTACAGTATAGCACATCGTAATTATAATGCACAATATCAACGCAGGCCTCCTACTGAACAATTAATTGACAAACTTTATGACATACATACTTAAGGTTTGTCAATCACATTTTTGTTCTGGACGGATGGATTTAACAAACCCTTTCAAATGACGGGTGTGTTTCCTCAATCCCTAGTCACACGATAGGTCACCCAATACCTCCGTTTCCTTCTAAAGTAATATGCTCGAAAGCCATACGGTATGAGTAAAGAATGTACAGAGAAAGCTTCATACAATTGCACGCGTGTGAGAGAGCGCTATTGCTTGTCGCGTGCGCAGGAAATAATTTAAAACTTCTTTGACATTGATAAATATCATGTTGACATTGTAATTAATTATTTATTGTATCATTTTGAAACTAGATCCTTAATGCTTGACTGAATTTTAGATTTTGAAATGTAAATTGCTAATCCGGGATCCTTTTTTAACTAAGAAATGATTTGATGCCGGAAAACTTCTGCTAGCCTGTTTCGGCGTAGATGTAGCGGGTAATTTTATGTACCATGTTACTTGCAGTATCAATTATTTCGATTTTTATTTTGAAATGTTTCTATTAGCGACGACAGACCGCCAGTGCTCACTCACACACCTTCCCCCTCGGACGTGTAGCTGATTAGACGTGTATTGAATAACATTTTAAATTATTAAATAAAAGCGAAAAACCAAACGATTAAATAGATGCAAATATTAGGAGCGCATAACTCAGAGGAGGTCGATTACAAGTGTGACGGAGACCCTACAGCGAGTGAGGAAGATAACCACGGCGCGTGAGTTCATCGCATGAGGCACAACTAAGTACTAACCAATCATCCCTACGTATCCTTATCGCAGGCGCGCTGCATGTGCAAGCCCCTCCCATCATTAAGAGAAGCTGCGCCTAAGCACACCGCTCCCACCTCACCTCTCGCCCGCTGCCGTCGGCTTTATTTAGGCCTACAACTTGGAAATGAGTGTGCAACGATCGCCTCCCGTATCACAAATCTCCTTGGATATATTAAAACCAAATTCGCTACAGTATAAATCTGACTCTGCTCTGAATGCACCGAACAACACTACACAAGAGAGTAATTACTTTAACATCTCTAAGCGTCAGAAGCGTACATTGGATGATACAAATGAGCAACAGATATCTAGTATCTCGGAAATGACTGCATTGTTTAACGATAAGTTTGAACTTTTAAATAATGCAATGCTCACTATTATGACCCAAAATCAGGAGATAAATCAAACTGTCAAAGACATATCTTCCAAGCATGAGCAGTTACTTACAAAATTAAATATTTTAGAAAGGGAAAATAGCGTCTATAAGCAAAAACTATACATATTAGAAAACAAGTTAGACACCTTGGAACGACAAACCCGTTGCACTACTATGGAGGTTCGTAATATCCCGAAACAAGAAAAAGAAACAAGGGCTGTTCTCGTCTCAATTATTAAACAAATAGGCCTTCAATTGAACCCTGATACGTCGATAAATGACTCGGATATCCGGGATATATTTCGCAACAAAAGTGAAGCCGTGGTAGTGGACTTTTCGACTGTTTCGCAGAAGGAGAATTTGATACTACAATACAAATCCTTCAACAAACTGAGACGTCAAAAAAAAGAACCATTATTTAATACTGAACATATCAACCTGCTGGGCTCACCCCGTCCTATATTTGTGTCAGAATACTTAACTACCAAGGCAAGACGGCTATTTTACTTAGCGCGAGCTAACGTGAAAAATAAAAAACTCGCTGCAGCCTGGACCTCGTACGGGAAGATCTATATTAAAAAGGAAGAAGATTCGCCACCAATCCGCGTCGACGACGAAAGCGACCTCCCTAAACTGGATTTGTGACTAGTGTTCAAATTTTTGTTTCTTTCAATTTTTTTCTTTAGATATATTAAGTTTTTGCATGAATTATCAGTATTGTTTTTTTACATAAATGTTTCGAATTTCTTCATGAGCTGTATAATAACCAAAACACAAACAAAAAACATATATCAATCATTACACATCATACAATATATTTACAACCGTCTCCACATACATAACCTCACACATATATACACACATAACTTACAACTATTACTTTTTTGCATGTTTGTGACAACAAATATACCTATGTCTACAGCCACTTCATACTACACACACATACACAATACAGACAGACATAAAGATCTCACTCGCTATAGTACATTGATGGGTCCGGGCTTGAGTTCAACTACTTTTAATAATTACTATCATATCGCATACGGGTCACGTAATTACGTGACTACCTTTTTGTTACCTATTACTTAGAATGAATAATACTGAAGTGGTGAACCTTGACCTGGATTCATTGTCTATAGCACAAGTAATTAACTGTTATGCAGAGGAGATGAAACAATACATTCCACAAACACGTACTTTAAACATCATATCACAGAACATACGCAGTATTAACTGTAACTTGGCCAGTTTCATTATCTTATTACAGAGATCAAAAATCGATTGGGATATTATTATTCTCACAGAATGTTGGCTTCCTACAACTAAATTCATACCGGAATTAGAGAACTATAAGCATGTCACTACATCTAGACATAAGACTCAAAATGAGGGAGTGGTAATCTATTACAATAAACTGTTGAATGTCGTAGCTGAGGAACCTTTCATCGAGAATGCCAACTGTCTAACATTAAAAATTGATAATGAATATTGCATAATAGGTATATATAGACCACCCAGCTTCTCAGATACTTCGGGTTTCACAGAGTCTATCGACTCCATCCTCTTAAAATTAAATAGTTTCAAAAACATTATTATCGGTGGTGACATTAATATTGATATCCATCCAAACAATAACGATAGACGCTCACATGAATACCTTAACCTACTAGCCAGTCACGCTATGCTACCTGGTTTTACAACCGCTACTCACGACCGTACTTGTCTGGATCACTTCATCCTTAAAACTAAACTTGAAGCTACATGTTTCGTACTCTTCTCATCTATTACAGACCATAATTGTGTTGCACTAAGCCTTGCACTCAAATCGAAACCTAAAACAACTTCTTTTATCACCCAGCGCGTAGACTTTAAATTACTAGACATAAGTATTTCTAATATAAATTTCCAGCCTATCTTAAATAATTTTGACACCAATTCAGCCACCAATTTTTTCGTTTCTTGTTTAACTAAATCAATCAAGGACTGTACTAAAGAACTAAAAACTCCAAAAAGAAAACATACCATAAAACCTTGGATTACTAGTGGCCTCTTACGGTGCATGCGAAACAAGGATAAACTACATAAAAAATATAAAGGTGATCCTGACAATGAAGCACTTAAAACTACTTACAAGCGATATAGGAACTTTTGTAATGCCATTCTCAAGAAAACCAAGAGGTTATACGATAGGGGCGAAATCACTAGGACCCAAAAGGATAAAAAACAGCTTTGGCAAGTTTTAAAAAACATAAGTGGGGCACATTGTACAGTCGATTACTCAACTTCACTAGTTTCCAAACATAACCCTCAACAGAAACTTAATGAAGTAAATAAATACTTCGCCAATGTCGGCAAAAAACTCGCCGAAAAGATAACCCCCTGTAATGATACTTCATGCTACTGTAAAGCTCAAACAACGACGTCTCCTCCTGGTTGCCTCGTTATGTCTCCTACGGATGAGCATGAAGTGGCAAATATCATATCCGGACTTAAAGAACAATGTGCGGTGGGTACTGATCTTATATCAACCAGAATTATAAAACGATATGCGGAGCTTATAATACCACCTTTGACGCACATTTGTAACCTAGCAATTGCAAATGGAGTGTTCCCCTCAGCTTTCAAAGGTGGTCAAATCAAACCGATCTACAAAAACGGTGATAAGGATCGTGTCGAGAACTTTAGGCCTATCACCATCCTTCCTGCTCTCTCCAAAATTTTAGAGCGCATAATGAACAAGAGGCTCACAACGTTCTTAGAATCAAATAAAATCCTCTCTCTGTCACAATACGGTTTTCGAAAAGGAAGATCCACAAATGATGCTGTTAATGATCTTACGCAATCGATTGTGTCTAGCTTGGACGAGAGAAGGAAGTGTGTGGTGCTTTTTCTCGATCTAGCCAAGGCATTCGACACGGTCTCCATTCCCCGGTTACTCTCCAGACTAGAGAGTTATGGAATCAGAGGCTTACCGCTCAAGATGTTTTCTGATTACCTTTCAAATAGGACACAGAGGGTTAAAATTGAACATTGGGTAAGTGAAGAATCGAGCATCACTTATGGTGTGCCGCAGGGTAGCATCCTCGGGCCTACCCTATTTTTGGTTTATATCAATGAGCTATGTCAACTTCAGCTCACAGGGGGCAGAACCTTTACTTTTGCTGATGACACTGCTCTTTTCTTTGAAGGGAACTCTTGGGACAGTTCATTTGAATTAGCACAGAAAGGCCTAAATCTAGTAACAAAGTGGCTGAAATGTAATGCCCTCACACTTAATGTCTCCAAGACTAAGTATGTCACTTTTGCCTTAAAATCTAACCAACTTCCATCAACAGAACTTAACATTACTGTCCATGAGTGTAACACCCAGTCTTCTATGATTTCTTGCCCTTGTCCCTCCTTGGAGCGTACCGACTGCATAAAATATCTAGGAGTATTGCTAGACCAGACCCTAACCTTCAAGTACCATCTCGATCTTCTAGCATCAAGACTACGTAAGATGACTTATATTTTTAGAAATCTGAGAGCTGTTGCGGAGCGGAAAATCATTAAAACCGTCTATTATGCGTTGTGCCACTCTCTATTGGAATACTGCATCACCTCTTGGGGTGGGGCCGCGAAAACACATTTACTAACGGTGGAGAGATCTCAGCGCATATTGCTTAAAGTGGCTGCAGGACTCCCATATCGCTATCCTACTGTAGAGTTATACAAAGTCTGGAACATTCTCTCTGTACGACAGATATTCGTTCTGAAAACCGTACTTCAAAAACATAGCCAGTTAACTTATGACCCCAAATTTGAACAAAGGAGACGCAAAACTCAAGTCTGCCCTTTGCCTACTCAGAAAACCTCCTTTGCACAAAACTTCTTCCAGTTTCTAGGCCCATTCCTCTACAACCGCATAAATCATATCCTCCATATTTATTCTCGTCATAAAACCCACTGTAAAACTATCGTCCGCCATTATCTATTGACACTTGACTATGATTCTACTGAAAACCTATTATGCCCTCTAAGGTAAACCTGATAATGATGATATTCGAAGTTTTCACAAGAGATTTTAATTTCGCCTCTGCTACTGTTGAAACTAATCATTTACACACGACTGCACATACACAAACATACACACACATACACTACACTGCATACATATTACATACACAAAAAGAACGAAATCACACAAACACTTACTATCACACACATACACGCCGTTTTTGGTTATTATTTTTATTTTTAATTTTGGAAACTGGATAATTTTCTAGCTTCCTATTAGATAGAATAGCTTTCTTTGATTTTTGCTATTATTTATTTGTTTTCTTTTATTCAATGCTGTTGAAACAACAATGTATATACACATTTCAACTGTCCGAGATATTGTACCATCTGTGGAAGTCTTGCTATCTGTGATTGGGCCTGGTGACCTGTAGCACAGGTTTCTATTGCTGAAACCTATTTCAGGCACCAGTTCATCACAAATAGAGGAGCCACAATACTGTAATAGCTATACAAGACTTACTATGAATCTCTGTTGTGATGGAAAATAAATATATTTTTTTTGATTTTTGATTTGACACACGCACACTGTACGAAGCTTTGCCTCTCTGCCTTCTTTACTTTACTCATGTGGTAATATGCTCGAAAGCCATACGGCTCTTCACGGTTGGCAGCACCGAGCAATGGCCGGCGTCACCTGGTGTCTACGGTCGGTGAGCTTGGGTGTTACCGACAGCCTGGTTGTTGTACGCATAAACCACATAAATCTATGGGAACCAAATGTTAGCTGTTAGGAAATGACCGTTGAAAAAATAATATACAATCCAAGTCAAACATTTATTGCATGTTCACGACACACCAAGACGGAAATATATTTGGTATCGGTTTCATGCTTTTAATACCTACGGTTAGAATTTTATTTGTATGTCGCGATGTTGTCACGGTTTGACGAAACTAAGAATGGGTTTGGGAAAGAAAATTAAGTTACTTGAACAAACATTAATTTCGGCAAGCACTTTTCTTCATAACGAACAGTTGAGTATAAGTCAAGCAAAACGCAGCAGTACTCTTCGTAAGCTTATCATACTAATTATCAATTAAATAGCAATAAATATTTATAGTGTAGCATGATGTCGGTCGACCATTGCCACGCGGGCCGGTCGGTGGCATTACTGCGGCGCGCGCGCATTATATTTTCATGCTATCCAGTCGCACATCGGATGATATTGCGTGCGTTCGTCGCACGCTCTCATCTTTCAACTATAATCTTCTTTCTATCACTGCGCTCAAAAATAGCTCTTACTACTTCATCATAAGCTTTATCCGTGACTGTTTAATTAATGTACAGAGTCCCAATTATTGTACAATGACGGATAGGAGCGCGCCATGCGAAATTCCTTTGAAATCTTTTGTGTCAATATTGCTTCAGTAGCGCGGTGGCTATCTTGCGAGATCACTTTTCCGGTATTTTTGTGGTGTGCTAGTGAAGTGGTTGTCTGTGTGGGTTTTCTTTTGGATTAATTATATCTAGTTGGATTTAAATATAAATAAACTCTGTTCTCAGGTGAGTCTGCAAAACGGTAATACTGTTATTACACAACATATGTATTAACTTTGACTATTCTACAATACGTAGGTTTGCATTCACC